GTGTATGTCTGTCAGTGTGTTTGTATATCATTGTGTGTCTGTCAGTGTTTGTGTGTATCTGTCAGTGTGTGTCTGCAGCTGTATGTGTTTATCTGTGTATCTGTCTATCTGAATGTGTATCAGTTTGTGTATATTTGTGTCTGTGTATCTGCATGTGTGTCAGTGTGTGTATCTACGTGTATGTGTATCACAGTGTGTGTGTGGCAGTGTATGTGTATATGTGCATAAATCTCAGCATTCAAACGCCAACACTACACACAAATACACCCCAGCATGCAAACTTCAAAACTACATACAAACACACCCTGCATTCAAATGTCAACACAACATACAAACACACCTCTGTATTAGACACCAAAATTATATATAAACACACCGCTGCATTCAAAATCCAACACTACATATAAATGCACGATTGCATTGAAACCCAAACACTACATACAAACACACCCCTACATTCACACAAACATACTCTATACAAAAACATGCTAACATTCAAACATACAAATAGTGCTTAATACAATGCTGCAAGCATGGGGAATCGGTAGAGCCACAGCTTTTAAAATTAATCTTTGCCTGAGTAGTCAAAAATCATTGCACCGGCCCTGACTGTAAAGTGTGATAGTGTGATATATATTGTGATAAATATAGTGTAATATATAGTGTGATATATATATACAGTGTATATATAGTGTGACCAATACAGTGTATATATAGTGTGATAAATACACAGTAATATATAGTGTGATAAATACAGTGCGATAAACAAAGTGTAATATTTAGTGTGATAAATATAGTGTAATATATAGTGTGATATATATACAGTGTATATATAGTGTGATAAATATAGTGTAATATATAGTGTGATCAATACAGTGTATATATAGTGTGATAAATACAGTGTATATATAGTGTGATAAATACACAGTAATATATAGTGTGATAAATATAGTGTGATAAATCCAGTGTGATAAATATAGTTAATATATAGTGTGATAAATACAGTGTGATCAATATAGTTAATATATAGTGTGATAAATCCAGTGTGATAAATATAGTTAATACATAGTGTGATAAATCCAGTGTGATAAATATAGTTAATATATAGTGTGATAAATATAGTGTAATATAGAGTGATAAATATAGTGTGATAAATACGGTGTAATATATAGTAAGATAAATATAGTGTGATAAATATAGTGTAATATACAGTGTGATAATATAGTGTATTAGAGTTTATAAAACACAATATCATATCATTCGTATCATAGTTATTATATAGTGTGATAATATAGTGTATTATAAAGTGTTATAATATAGTGTGTTATATAGTGTGATAATATAGTGTGATAATATAGTGTATTATATACAGGGAGTGCAGAATTATTAGGCAAGTTGTATTTTTGAGGATTAATTTTATTATTGAACAACAACCATGTTCTCAATGAACCCAAAAAACTCATTAATATCAAAGCTGAATATTTTTGGAAGTAGTTTTTAGTTTGTTTTTAGTTATAGCTATGTTAGGGGGATATCTGTGTGTGCAGGTGACTATTACTGTGCATAATTATTAGGCAACTTAACAAAAAGCAAATATATACCCATTTCAATTATTTATTATTACCAGTGAAACCAATATAACATCTCAACATTCACAAATATACATTTCTGACATTCAAAAACAAAACAAAAACAAATCAGTGACTGTTGTGGAAATAAGGTCTGCACATATTTCCTAGATAGAGAAAATGTCTATTTACTCATTTCATGATATATATATATCACATAAAGCTAAACACACACATTTTAATCAAGATGGCTGCTAGAAGCTTCTAATCCCTCCTTCCCCCTCCCTTCCCCTCCTAACGTCGACTAACTACCTCGTGCATCAAGATGGCGCCGGGAAACCGTGGGAGACCCTCATGGCCCCGGTGACATCACCTACAGTAGGCAGAGCATTAGAGCAAGCACTTAACACCTAACCAATTATTGATGTATTATTCCATGTTATCTCTGACAATGCATATGATGTAATTTTGCTTTAAAAGGGACTTGCCGTCCCCTCTGAATAAACTTTCCTCAAGTTATTCAACAACCTGGAACCTGTGTCTGGTGTGAATTACTTCAGGGAGCGTGCACGCATTGTTTCATTGATTTGGCCAGGGGCAGATACACAAAGAAATAATCAATACTTTAATTGATTTTTCCACTTCAATTGGCGCCCAACGTGGGGCCACCGGAGCGCCGGTTCGGAGGGCCGGAACCAGCGGACCGGAGCGGACCTCCGGAAAGTGGGACAAGCGGAGCCTGATCACCTCCATAATACAGCCGTTGCCTGTGTTATTTTTCCTGTTTTGTGTCGGTCTGCCTCCGGGTCCACTTCCGGCTTCCAGAAGGCTACTAGAGACAGGTAACTAACTCATCCGGTGTGCCTTTTTAAGCGAACCTGTCGATTGTCTATCTGCCTCCTGTATTAGTAATATGTGTATGTGTGCTCCTTTTTCTATATTTTATGTTAGCTTGACTGCCTAGCGGGCAGGGAACGCATTACAGCCGGTGGGGCTGGGATTTTATGTTAGCTTGACTGCCTAGCGGGCAGGGAACGCATTACAGCCGGTGGGGCTGGGATTTTATGTTAGCTTGACTGCCTAGCGGGCAGGGAACGCATTACAGCCGGTGGGGCTGGGATTTTATGTTAGCTTGACTGCCTAGCGGGCAGGGAACGCATTACAGCCGGTGGGGCTGGGATTTTATGTTGGCTTGACTGCCCAGCGGGCAGGGAACGCATTACAGCCGGTGGGGCTGGGATTTTGTACAATTCTTGCATGATTTCATTAGAGCTTGTGTTATAACAGAGCTGGGGATTGTTACACGGTGGGTATTGGTACCAGTGGTGTTAACATGTACATGGCCATTTTACTTTCTATCATCCTGTGGCTTTTGTTTAATTGTTGTTACAGTGTGGGTACCCTCGGTGTGTGTGTGTTGTGTGGTTGGTTCTGGATTCCGGAGTTTATGCCCATTTATATGTTTGTGATTTTTGCAAATGTCTTCTCATTAGCGCAGCCACGTTTATATTCTCCTTTGTTCTTTATCTTTCCTGCGCCTGTTGCCCAGAGCTGTGTTAGTCACCCACGCTCGTTCGCTCCCGTCCGTGACCACCACCCCCGGGTGGGCGGATCCCTGTGACTAATCTACGTTTGGGGAAGACGCACAGAGCTCAAGCAGTGGCAGTCGAGCACTGTAGACATTCTTTTTCCTTTCCCCTCAGTACCTCCTCTATTCTTCTGTCTTCACCACGTGACACGCTTTGTTTATATAAGATGGGGCAGGAACATGCTAGACCTGCTAAGGGCTTGTTAGCTTGTGATATTGTAAAAGAAAGGGCAGGAGAGGATGCAATGCTGAAACTTAAAAAGATTGCCAAGGTGTGTGGCTTTCAAATGTTGCCTAGTGGAAGGTTACAGCCTGAGTTTTGGAGAAAGTTGCTCACAGACAAGGAAGGTTTGTTGTTGGATAACGGACTCACTAAGGTTGCAGAGGCTTGGTATCGGGTAGCTAGAGGATTGAAACGAGAGGGATGGGTCGAGGAAGAGTTGGAGTTTGAGGGACAGATTGTATATGTTTACCATAGGAATGCTAACAATGATGATGTTACTTCCATTGTCCCACGGCCACCGCCCTATGATGGCGCCCAGAGTGCAGCCACAACCTCCCGCCCTGCTTCCCCCGTCACAACGCAGACCACACCCCCCGGAGGTGCTCCTTCAGCTCCCACTCCCCTTGGCCCCGTGCTCGGCGCGGATGGTGCTTACTATTTCCCGATGCCACTCCACTCGTTCCCACCCACACCCATGCATCAGCCCTCCTACAGCCCCGCCTCCTCCTCCTCCGTCATGCCTGTAGAAACCCCCCCATCTTCCTTGTTGTCTCCCCCCGTGCCTGTGCTTACTCCAGCTCCTCGTCAAGACTCTACCCCATCTATTCCCGTTTTGCCTGTCGAAGCTTTCTCCTCCGCCTTCTCCCCCTCCTCCTTCTCCTCATCCACCCTTTCCCCATCGAGTACCCTACCCTCAGTGATACCCGTTCCCTCACCCTCCTTGTCCGGTCCCTCAACCCCTGCCCTTTCCGCTGTTCCAGACCCCTGTCTGCCCCCGGAGCCTCCTTCTCCCGTACCTCCAGACCCAGACCTCCCCTCCCTCCTCGCTAGCCTCTCGAAGGTGCTCGCCCAGCCCGCTAGCCCCAGCTCCCTGGCCCCTGCTCCCTTACATTCAGACGCCCCTTCTACCCTCCAGAACCCTCCCGCTAACCACACAGTGCGTGCCCTGACCCAACCCCCCGTTACTGCCCCTTCTCCAGTGTTGCCTCCTCCCGAAGTCCCGGCCCCCTCTACCCCATTGTCCCCTCCCCCCTCGGCTGATTTGCCGTCCTTACTCTCTGCCCTCACTGCCCTGACCCAACCCCCCGTTACCGCCCCTTCTCCAGTGTTACCTCCTCCCGAAGTCCCGGCCCCCTCTACCCCATTGTCCCCTCCTCCCTCGGCTGATTTGCCGTCCTTACTCTCTGCCCTCACTGCCCTGACCCAACCCCCGTTACCGCCCCTTCTCCAGTGTTACCTCCTCCCGAAGTCCCGGCCCCCTCTACCCCATTGTCCCCTCCCCCTCGGCTGATTTGCCGTCCTTACTCTCTGCCCTCACTGCCCTGACCCAACCCCCCGTTACCGCCCCTTCTCCAGTGTTACCTCCTCCCGAAGTCCCGGCCCCATCTACCCCATTGTCCCCTCCTCCCTCGGCTGATTTGCCGTCCTTACTCTCTGCCCTCACTGCCCTGACCCAACCCCCCGTTACCGCCCCTTCTCCAGTGTTACCTCCTCCCGAAATCCCGGCCCCCTCTACCTCATTGTCCCCTCCTCCCTCGGTGACTCCCGACCCGTCTGTGACCAATGACCTGCCTGGTTCAATCTCCGCCCTCTTCTCTGCTGTTACTTCCCTGGTTAATTCAGCGATTCCTACTCCACCTCCCACTGATTTGCCTCCTCCTCCTCCTCCTCCCGAACCCCCGACCCCTCCCTCGTCTTCCGCTAATGTCCCCGAGCCTTCCGATCCAATCACTGCCCTTGCTCACGTCCTGAACACCCACCTCTCACGCCCACCCCATCCGGCCCCCATGACAGCCCCCTCCACGGCATTGGTCCCTCATGCCCCTCCCGCCAGTCCCAGTTACCCAATCATGGTGGTTGGGTCCGAGGTGTCAGTGACATCGGACCAGCCCTATGCGATGGGTGCCTCCCCCCAGGCCTCGGGCTTCCACCCAACTACCTCTCCCGCTGCTGGCCTCCCTATTACAGCTACCCCTGAGACTACCCCGCACCGCGGCCCGGTGGTGCCCGAGGAGGTCGTTGTTGTGGACCAGGGCTCACCCTCACTTAGGGGGGAGCAGACCACCACAACGGCGCTCCATCCCCCAGGGGTATACCCAGATTAACCATGGCGCGGATGGTGCACCACCCATGTATGTTACTTTAACCCTTCTCAAGCTGCTACCCTTGTGACTTCACTCCCTGATCCTGAGAAGCACCCCATGCCCTTTTTCCGCCGGATGGCTCAGATCCGCAAAACATACTCCGCTGCTTGGCGGGATCTTATAAGTTTATGTGAAATAAAGGCTGGTGATGCATACTGGCCAATCATGGAACGGAGCTTTAGCGATGCTCCTCTTACTTCTGATACTGATTTTCGTTCTGGTGAAGTTTTCTGTGAACAGCTTCGAGCCTGGGCGCAGGATAAACTAGCTGATCAGGCTACTTGCATAAATGATATTCTTCAGGATAAACTTGAGACTGTTGAAAAGTACCACTCTAGGTTGACTCAGACTTTTTCAGATTTGGGGTTCAGCACCTATAACAAAGCACACACTCAGATGCTATCTGCAGCGTTTGTGGCAGGCCTCAAGGAACATATTCGTAAGGGGTTAATCCTAGCTCGCCCTGAGTATAGAATTATTCCACTGGACACTCTCTTGTTGGTAGCCAAGGGTTTGGAAACAGTTTTACAACCCACACCACGTAGAACAAATCCTTTGATGTACACTACCTCCACTCCTATCTCAGGTTCTAACCAAGCACCTCAGTTACCCCTCCAACAGTACCACCAACCACCCCAAACACAGCCTGCCCCATTTCCTTTCCCAGAGACCGAGCAATCACAACAATCAGGACCTGTTTTAATTGTAACCAACCCGGACACTTTAGAAGAGATTGCCCACAACCTAGGGTGTTCCGTCAGCAGACTTCCCGGTACCCTGGTCCCCATACCACCAACTATAACTTCCCTTCCACTGGTTATCTCTCTGCCCTACCCCTTCCACAGTTGCCCCAACTTCCCCCTCCTCCACCTCCCTCCGCCTCCTGAGTACACCCATGCCCGGCCGCCCACATCAGATGCTCGTGCTTACTCTTCGCCCTCTGGCGAAGGGTATGACAACGATGATTTCCAAGACAGTCTGCCACAGCCCCGTCACGCTATCCGTCCATCTCGCCCACCCATGCATTCTGCTAACCCCCCTACCACTTCCCGCCGGTACCAGGGACCAGACCAGGCCCATTTAGATTTATTGCAATAGGTAACCGGCAAGCCTGTGTCAGCAACCCCTGCCATGGCAGTGTCTGCGGGGGATGGGGGAGGGCCTTTAGCTACTGTAGTTCTCCCCGTGGAGGGCCACCCAACCACCTTTCTAGTTGACACAGGTGCAGCCCGTAGTGTTCTTAGGGAACAAGACCTGCCAGACCCTTCCTTTTTATCTGACACTGATGTCTCCTGTGTTGGGGTAGATGGTACACCTCGCAGTAACCCCCTTACTAAACTCTTACACGTAGGATCACACATCCTCTCCCGGTTTGTTGTTTCCTCTACCTGTCCCATTAACCTCCTAGGTGCCGATGTTCTCTCTCGGCTTCAGGCTTCCATTACTTTCACTGCAGATGGCCAAGTCGAGTTGACAACCCCCCTATCACAAAAGGATACCTCTGCCCTCTGCTCCCTCCCCATCCTGCTGAACATAACTGACAACACAGGGAATGCACGGGTCACACACACCCCCAGTGCTCTGGATCGGGTCCCCCAAGAACTTTGGTCTACCGGCCCGGATGATATTGGCCGTTTACATGTACCCCCAGTCCTGGTTCAGCTCCTGCCTGGGGCACTACCCCCCCGTAGACCACAGTATCCTCTGAAGCCAGCACAAGCTGAAGCCATCACCAAGCAAGTTGACAGCCTACTTGCCAAAGGTGCCCTCATCAAATGCACATCTCCTTGCAACACACCTCTTTTTCCTGTCAAAAAGCGAACTGTTAAAGGTCAGCCTGACCAGTACCGCATGGTGCAGGACCTTCGTGCTGTCAATGATGTCACCATAAAGGACACTGCTATTGTTCCAAATCCACATACCCTCTTGTCCCAAGTCCCACCAACTTCTACTATATTCACTGTGGTGGATTTAGCCAATGCCTTTTTCAGTGTTCCCCTTGACCCTTCCTGCCGTTTTCTTTTTGCTTTCACACATGAAGGGCAACAATACACCTGGACTGTTATGCCACAGGGTGCTCAGAACTCTCCCACACAGTTTGCTCATGCCATGTCTCTTGTTCTTGATCCCTGGCAGAAATCTCATCTGGATGTTGTTCTACTTCAATATGTTGATGACCTACTTCTCTGTGCTCCTGATTTACCCACTGCAGAGCGTGACTCTGAAGACCTCCTGTGTTTCCTCGCTGCAGCAGGTTGCAAAGCTTCAAAATCAAAACTACAATGGTGCCGGCCATCCGTGGTCTTCTTGGGACACTGCCTTTCCCATGGCACCAAACATCTGACTTCACAACGTGTGCAAGCCATCCTGCAACTCCCTCTACCTGCTACACATCAGACTCTCCATGCTTTTTTGGGTCTTATAACATACTGCAGGTCCTGGATCCCAGAGGCTTCAAAACTTATGTAACCACTCTATGACACCCTCAGGAGTGAGCCCTTCCACCTTACTGAAGAAACTATCACCTGCTTCCACAACCTGAAAAGAGCTATTGCCTCAGCACCTGCCTTGGGCCTCCCCAACTACCAACTTCCTTTCAATCTGTTTGTCTCTGAAAAGTCAGGACATGCTTCCGGAGTTCTCACTCAGAAACATGGGTCAAGACAACGCCCTATTGGTTATTTCTCCTGCATGCTTGACCCTGTTGCGAGAGGTAGCCCCTCTTGCCTCCGAGCGGTGTTTGCCGCCAGCGCTCTCCTAGACAAGACCAATGATTTTGTTCTCGGCCACCACCTAACAGTGTTGGCCCCTCATGATATTACTGCCATCCTGCAACAAACCCAACCAAAGCACCTTTCCTCCCAACGCCACCTTCGCCTACAGACTTCCTTGCTCCTACCTGACAATGTTAAGCTTCAGAGATGTCTTTCCCTGAATCCTGCCACTCTTCTGCCACTTCCCAAGGGGGGAATTGTTTATCATTGGTACAGCCTGGATATTAACCCAGAGGTTCAAGCAGACCTACAGTTACCTGTACTTACACCTCCACATGATGAACAACCAGAGGCCCTACTCCACTGCACATTGTGGTTTAGGGATGTACCAAGCCCTGATATGAACTATGAAGAAGAACTATTCCAGCTCAAAGAAATTCAAATTTCCCTGACTGATTTATTCTGGGACTCTACAGGTACAATGCTTGTCTTAGTTTGCCTCCCAGAAAATGTAACACACCTCTATCACCACTGGGATACAGCTATTCCACACATACCTCTCACCAGATCCCTCAACACCTCATGGAAAGACCTAGGCCCGATGGCCAGAACATGGAACCAAATGACTCAAACACAGCTAATTTCTGCAGGGATCAATAAAAAGACCATTGACTACTGCACTACAGGGTACCCCAGGTACCACACAGAGGCCTGTGAGGACCCACTTACCGCGGATTGTGACTTCATTGATATCCCCCATGACTGTTTTGAACAAATGAAAATGGAAACTACACACTTACCAACTGTTTATGAAGCTGCATTACTTAATCCAGATCAAACATTATTTGTGGATGGCTCAAGATTTGCTGATGAACAAGGACAATATCACATTGGATATGCAGTCACCACAGGATGTCAAGTATTACAAGCAGCTGCTCTACAACCAACCAAGTCTGCCCAAGAAGCAGAGTTAACAGCTCTGACCGTGGCTTGCAAACTGTCTGAAGGTCTACGTGTCAACATTTATACGGACTCAAGATATGCCTTGGGAGTGGCACACGACTTTGGTTTAATTTGGAAGACCAGAGGATTTCTTACAGCTACTGGTACTCCGGTAAAACATGGGGCAACTATTGCAGAACTAATGGATGCATTGGAACTTCCAGCAGAAGTGGCAGTATTGAAAGTAAAAGCCCACGGAAAATTGGATACAGAAGAAGCATGTGGAAATCACTTGGCTGATCAGGCAGCCAAAGAGGCAGCGCGGCAAGGGTGGGAAGTGGACAGAAGAGTGGCCACGGATGTATCACCTATCTACACTATGCAAACATTGCCTACTGACCTCAAGCTCCTGAAGGAACAACAAGCAGCTGCTACCCTACAGGAGAAACAAAGTTGGAAGAACAAAGGAGCTGTACTCCGTGATGATGTTTATACTATCAATCTCAAGTTCTGCCTACCCAGGAACATGTATCCAGCGGTGGTCCAATGGGCCCATGGGCCAGCCCACCTGTCAAAACTCCTGATGAACTCACTGATTGACAAGTATTTTGAAGCACCAGGCATCACTACTTTAACACAGAATTATTGTAAATCCTGTACTATATGTGCTAAATGCAATCCTGGGAAAGTTATAAAGACTGCACCTAACCACCTAGCTAAGCCACAATATCCCTTTCAGAGGATTCAGATTGATCACATCCAGATGCCAAAAAGCGGACGTTATGAATATGCATTGGTTATAGTGGACATGTTTTCAGGATGGCCAGAGGCCTTCCCAGTGACCAATCTCACCGCAAGAACTACGGCCAAGTACCTTCTGACGGAAATTGTTTGCCGCTATGGAGTTCCAGAAGTGATTGAAAGTGACCAGGGAACCTCCTTTACTGCCTCGCTAACACGGGAAGTCTGGTCAGCACTGGGGGTGACCCTCGCATTCCATACACCATATCACCCACAGAGTAGTGGCAAGGTAGAGCGCATGAATGGCACTTTGAAAGCCAGAATGCT